CAACTAGGTTTTCAACAGCCCAGAACACCAATGCTGAAGTCTTTCTCTATGGACACAAGGGTGATGGAAGAACTCTTAACTCCCATAGTTTATTAGATCGATTAAACAGAGTTCAGGTTTTCCCCAGGGCCAAAAGGCAGGGACAGAATGAAGCATCTACCTCACACAGGAATTCGGGGGGCAGAGCAGATTGTCCCCCTACCCCCTAATCCAGGGATAACCAGGACCCATGTTTAAGATTTTTCAAGTGTCTGGGGATGATGGTAGGTGGGGCGATGATACAAAATGAGTGGGTCCAGGGTTTTCCAGACTTTTTAGGTTTGTGGAAGTAGTTCAGAGGGTTTATTTGCTTTTGCTTTGTTTTTAAACTAAGTTAAGCCTATTTTAGGGCATACAATATACTTTCGAGAGTTTCCTGTCTGAAAATGGCTTCCAGTTTTCAGCAACTGTGGTCAGAGATGGCTCCTGGGGACCACAGGAAAATGATTTGGGGGCTCCGGTTGCCCACCCCTGTCCTAAATTAACCTGCTGTGATTGGGACAATGTCCAGTTTCATTGAATGCCCTCCAGCCCCCCTGCTCCCGTTAGTTTCCCAAATGGAGAAGACCTTCTTTCCTTTGTGTTATCAGTGTATCTTGTGTTAGACTTGCAAAGGCACCTTCAGGGCTCTGGAAAATTGCAAATCTGCCTTACAGCTCCAACCATTTGGAAAAGTAGAAAATTTCAAAAGCTGAACAGCCTTGGCAGATAGCTAGCTTGCAGATTTTCTCAGGAATAATTACTTGATTCTGCATCAGTAAAGAAGTGCCCATAAGGTGTATGTGTGTGGGGGGGCGGGGGGGGGAAGGCTTGCAACTTTGCCAGCTTCTGAATCATATTTTAATGCTGAGCAGCCGGTTGGGGCGTGCAGAATCCCAGGTTGGCTCTGGGGATGTAATGTTCTACTACTCGGTTTTTAAATATTTTCCATAGCTTGTTTATGTTTGGGTCTATTTATTTGATTTTCGCTGTACAATACTACCAGCAAATATATTGCCTCAATGGGATTAATGGATGTTGTGGTGAATTGTTCTGGGTTGGTCTAAAATCCTTCAGAACTGCAATTCTTGATGGTTCAGGTGTGTGATCAGAAATCTCCCCCCACCCCAGTAGATACGCAAAGTAGAGGATATTCACGCCAGACATTCCAGAGAAATGTCAATGAGCAATTGTGCAAGTAGGAAGACAGATGCAAAATCTGGAAGTGGCCTGGAGTAGTCTGATAGAAAGTTCTGTCGTGTGTGTGTGTGTGCGCGTGTGTGCGCACGCGGGCTTGCAGGGCAGAAAATATATTTTTTTATTGTGCTCACTCTTCCTTCACACTTGATCCTCTGGCAGCTTTCTGAAAACTGATCCCGATGCTGTAATTTCAAAGCATGGCATGCATAGTCCGTGGTTGCTCTACTGACGGGATCTTTCCTCTCTCCCTTCCCCTGATGAGGCCCAGTAAATTGGACAGCACAAGATATGCCTGTTCCTGTTGTACAAGAATCCATCTTTTGTGAGTTCAGTTTGACCAGAGAGGTGGTTGTGAATCAGGGAGAGTAGACCCCAAGTCTTAAAAGTATGAAGGGATGCTCATGCTGGCCTGAATTTCTCCCCCCGTGGCTTACAGAAACAGATCCAGCTCCGACAGGAGGCTGGATGACATGACGTTGCTTGACTTCAGCTAGGCCCTAGGCCCTTTTGGATGGGGTACTCCCAGGGGAGTTTTGCTCGTGGAAGATGATCCGGCAGAAGCCTTCTGGTGCCTTCCCTGGTTGAGAGTAAAGAATCCAAGCGAGGGTTACGCCAAGGGCCTTATCCCAGGCCTGATAAATTGGACCACACAAAATATCTCCGTTCCTGTTGTACAAGATTCCTCCAGAACGACAAGCTGTTAAGCAAGCTCTGTGCACAACAGCTTTCCATTCCCCATTGTTTACATTGCGTCTGTCCTCTTCTGAAGAACAGGCCCTTGGCGCCTGTGTCCAGCCTCACGCGATCGATCCATCTTTAGAACTTCTCCTGTGTTTCCTAAGAGAAATACAAAGGGATTTCATCTTTTTAAGATCAATATGATAACATTTAATGAGTAGATGGAAGACTTTTTTTCCACTTTGACCTTGAAAATAGAGTCAGTGTTGAGATGAACATTAAATTAATTTGTGTTCATTCAGTTGTGTAACTTTTATAAGCAAATACTTGAAATATTCATCTGGGTTCAGGGGAATATAAGTGGGTGAGGGGTTTGAGAAGGATAATGCAGAAAATGACCAAGCCAAACTTCTTGCACTTGGAAAATATTTTAGCAATGGCTTAAGTGAATTAAACTTAAGTGGTGGTGTTCTAAGAATGTAGAGTCCTATACGTAGTCAATACTTACCAACGTATTTTACCTGTATGCTAAATGTCAGGAAATGTTGCATTTTTGAATAGGTAATCTTTGAAAAACCATGCAGTGACCAGAACAAAGAATCCGTGGAAATACCTTTAAATCTCTGCCAATTTCATAGCAAGGTAGATTACTTGGCCATACAGGGGAAGAAGTCATAGGCATTTTTATGACTTTTCTGTTGGCCAAGGAATGTCTTCCTTATTCTGTGGAATCCCCATAAGCAGGGGCCACTCTATTGAGTTTTGAAGGGGAAGAGACTATTTTTAGCATACTAATTTAATAAACCCATATTTAGAATCTTTACACACCAAGAGTGCATTGGTTCCCGTAGAAATGGGTGTAGTGATGACAGTGTGCTGGATTAAGACCAGGGAGCCAAAACTCAGGAGTATGGTAACACCTTTTCTGACTAGAGCAGTGTTTTTCAAACTTGACATCTTTAAGATGCATGGACTTCTGCTCCCAGCAACGGGAGGGTCAGCAACCCTTGCGTGCTGGCTGGGGCATTTGGGGAGCTGAAGTCCACGCATCTTAAAGTTCCCAAGGTTGAAAAACACTGGACGAGGGTAACATGGCTTTCTTCCTGCGATGACCAGGGAGACAGAAATTCATGTCCCCGCTCGACCATAAAGGCCATCTGATCACCTTGGGTTGGTCAGCTGCAGCCTAAATTACCTCCCAGGGTTGTTCAGGAATGGGTAGGAAGAACACCACCCTAAAACACTTGGAGGATGGATAGTGAAGAGACCGAGTTAATGACATTAGTTACATGGCCCTTTCGGGTTATTGTTATTGTTTGGGCAAAAATAGCAAGCGTTTCCTCTTTACCAGCGGAATTTAGTTACAAATAAGCGGTCAACTTTGCATAGACTTTACACAAATATGTTTTGTATCCTTTCCTTCCCAGATGGGTGCAGGTTCAAGTGAAGAATTTAAGATGGTGGCTTTAGACCTAACTACGTATATGTGGAAGGACCCTTTGGCTGTGCTGTGCTGTGCTGGGTTTGGTGGTGTTTTTTTTTAACCCAAACAAATCAACTTCAGACCAGAAAGCTTTCATTTAGTTTGCACTCCCTCTCTTTGCCGTGGCGACTGCAAGAATGTGTTTTGCCTCGTATAATCGCTGAGTCTTGTCTCTTGAAGAGGCTCCAGGTTTTAACCCCTCCCTCTCTCCATTCTGTCTTAAAAAGCGTATGTCCCGCACTGCTGTTTGTAGGGCTGATCTGAGGTGACTGAAAGGATGGGTGGTGGGTCAGCAGCCCTTGCATTTTTCTCACATCTACTTTTTCAGCTTTTGTTTTGGTTTTTGGTAACAGGAAATCAAATTTCAGCGGTAGTTCAAACGTCTGCCTCTTGGTTTTGACACTGTACTGAAGCAGAAACTTAATACTTGCCTTCATTTGTCACACATATAGAAATGCAAAGTTTTCCTAAAAACGCTGTAGGTCTTTACTAATGTTGAATTAAATACATTCCTTCATAGCTTGGGGTTGGCTTTCCATTAAATACAGCAATTAATGCAAGAGTTTGGAATATTAATATTTATTTATTATACTTGTTTTCCCTTGTTCCTCTGATGTCCACAGAGCCCCCTACTCCTGTAGAGAGAGGGGGGCACATGTCATTATGCCTGGAAAAAGCCAAATACACTATATTGAGGGAAAAGGGACCAAATATTGTGGTTCTGTCAGAGAAGGCAAGGCTGATCAAGGACAGCCTGAATTGGAAAGGACAGAGAAGCCGTGTCCTGTCTGGAAAAGGCGGCTCTGGAGGGCGGAGGTGTTGAGATGGTGGCATCCCTTAGCAGTTGCAGCACTGAGGGCTGAAGGTCTTGCCAAAATAGTGAAGTCTCTTGGAAAAGGCTGTGAGGTTAGAGCTTTGGGGCAGACGGAGATCCGCTTTCCTGTGCTGCTGAGCTCGACTTGGCCTGGCTGAGCGTTCGTGGGCAGCGCAGAATTCGGGCAGAGTGAAGGTGCTGCAGAACTCAGGGTGGGCCAGGGAGGTCCTAGACTAGGACCATCATTCTCCTGCCAGTTTGGCCAGAATCTTCTGTGCTCTTGATCTCTCCGACAAGGATGAAACAACTCCCCGAAGCCAGGCTAGCTGAGGATTATGGTGGGAGGAGTACATTGCTCATTGAGGAGGGTTGACAAAGAGGGATTTGAATCATCAGTTCAGGTGACCTGTCTTCTGATAACTGGGCCTTCTCCACACTCCTCTGAATTCAGAGGCCAACGACGTCTCCTGGGCACTGTTGCCTTGTAACACAAATGTGGGAATCGTCCCTCTCATTTCCCCCCATGTGTATCTTTGTTGCACTTTTAGCATCATTCATGATGGTCTTCTCTCTCTCCTTTTTGCTTTCTTCTTAAGGTTCCAGATGTTATCAGTAGCATAAGGCAGGCTTCCAAAGCAGCCCTCAAAGAAGACGTCAAGCCCAATAAAGAAAACGAAGATGCCTTCTACAACTCCCAGAAATTTGAGGTTCTGTATTGTGGGAAAGTGACCGTGGCCCATAAAAAGGCCCCGTCTTCCCTGATCGACGACTGCATTGAGAAGTTCCACCTGCATGAACGTCAGCGCCTGAAGCTGCTCAGCGAGTACCGCAGCGCCGAGTCCAGCACGGACCTTGTGGAGTGGGAAGATGGGCCCTCTTCCCCCTTGGACAGTCCGTTTGAGGAGATGGAGGGTTCCGGTGGGGGTCCCCCAGGGATGTTCATCGTGGGGAGCCAAACCAACCTGGCCGGCCTGGCCGGCTGCCGGGCCTCTTTCCCAGAGCGGATCCTGGAGGACTCCGGAGTTGAGGAGCAGCAGGAGTTCCGCTCCCGGTGCAGCAGCGCCACAGGCCTCCACAGGAGAGCTCATGAGAGCAGCTCCAGGACCTCGTCGCGAAGGCGCCACGCGAGTGCCCCGAGCCACGTTCAGCCCTCGGACTCTGAAAAGAACCGGACAATGTTGTTTCAGGTAGGGGCATTTCTGATGGACCCGGTGGGAGAGGATGGGCCCCTTTTGCCAGCTTTCGTCTTTGTGCTCTGATGCTCTTGCAGAACATAACTTTTCACCCGTGTGGTTAAAAATCTGCGCTGCTGAGGGCTTTTGATGTTTCAGTAGCTGCAAGCTGGCAAGGGCCATTTGGGAGGACGTGACCTATAAGCTTGTAAGGTAAAAAACTAATCCCCTGGTAAGGAAGGAAGTAAATGTGGCGGGCTTGAAAGACCTGGTGTCTAGAGGACTTTAGGTTCCTCGCACCTTTCACTGGTGTTTTTAAGCTAGTTTGAATTTTGCCTGTGGAAATTTTATAATGACTGCAGGGAGCCCTGCCTACAGGACAGAGAGATCTGGCAGAAGAGCCAAAATAAGGGACGTCGCTAGGTACATGTATGGGGCATTTGTATGTTCAGGGGTTTTGAAGAGTAGAGATGTGAAGAGGAGGAAGAGAGTTTCCAGAAGCAAATTGTTCTGATTCTTGCACTTAAAAATCTCCAGGATAGGCTGAAATTGCATTGTCTCTCAATCCTGTTAGCACGGTCTCAGCAGGTCACCCTGCCCCGTGCGTTGCCTCCCCCTAAGCTGGCATCATTTGTCACATAAACGTGAGTTTGGGAGACTTTTAGATTTGGCTTGAATCTTGGCATGTCCCCTGTAAGGCTTGTGCTAAAGCAAAACAGAGCAGGAAGGAATTTTACTCAGATGATGTTAGGCCTAGCCCAAGGAACTCCAAGAGACCATGCAAATTCAGTCCAGCTACGTTTATTAGCTACAACTTCTATCAAGA